GGTTCTATCTGAGATTCCTTGAATGGAACAAAGTTCCATCAAAGCCAATTTAAACAGTCTATGTAACAAATAATTATTCTTGGCTGGGCGCGGTGGCTCACGCCTATCATCCCAGCACTCTGACCTCAACCGCAGATCACATAGACTCCTGCCTTATGTCTCACCACCCCCCAGTCATGGAGACCCATGCCCCGAGGCACCCAGACCATTCTCATCCCCGTCACTAGGACCGGGCACGTGGTATCCCTCGCTCCCAGGGTAGCAGACCTCCAGTCGTTAGTCCAAGAGTAGACTCCTGCCCCCCTGCTCTATCCATAGGCAACCAGTAACTACCCCACCATCACTAGTATCTTGTCTGCCATCACCAGTAACTTTTCTGCTATCACCAGTAACTACCCCCATCACCAGTAACTACCCCATCACCAGTAACTACCCCCATCACCAGTAACTAACCCCCATAACCACCAGTAACTACTACCCCCATCACCAGTAACTACCCCCCATCACCAGTAACTACCCCACATCACCAGTAACTACCCCCCATAACCACCAGTAACTATCCCTCATCACACCAGTAACTATCCCTCCATCACCAGTGAGGGTAGTACCTCCCATCACCAGTAACTACCCCCATCACCAGTAACTACCCCCATCACCAGTAACTACCCCCCACCACCAGTAACTAACCCCCACCACCAGTAACTATCCCTCATCACCAGTAACTGCCCTCCATCACCAGTGAGGGTAGTAAACCCCATCACCAGTAACTACCCCCATCACCAGTAACTACTCCCCATCACCAGTAACTACCCCCCATCACCACTAACTAACCCCATCACCAGCAACTAACCCCATCACCAGTAACTACCCCCCATCACCAGTAACTATATCCCATCACCAGTAACTATATCCCATCACCAGTAACTACCCCCATCACCAGTAACTACCCCCCATCACCAGTAACTACCCCTCATCACCAGTAACTAACCCCCATCACCAGTGAGGGTAGTACCTCCCATCACCAGTAACTACCCCCCATCACCAGTAACTACCCCCATCACCAGTAACTACTCCCATCACCAGTAACTACCCCCATCACCAGTAACTATTCCTTCATCACTAGACCCTCTCCTCCATGTCATTAGGGCTCCAGAGAGAGGCAGACACCCACTGCCTAGGCCCACTACCACCCGCAATAAGATCCCCATGGGGGCACCAGGAAACACTTCCCACACCCCAACCCAACCTTCAGTCACAGGGCTCACTCCATCCCTAGAGATCCTGGATCACTCGCCTCCCCAATCCCCAGGGGTCCCAGGTCACTCCCCTCCCCCATTCCTAGGGAGTCCCAGGTCACTCTCCCCTTCCCCATCCCTAGGGGTCCCGGGTTAGTCTCCCCACCACCATCCCTAGGGGTCCTGGGTCACTCTGCCCTTCCCATTCCTAGGGGTCCCGGGTTACTTTCCTCAACCCCATGCCTAGGGGCTCCTAGGTCACTCTCCCCAACCCCATGCCTATGGGTCCTGGGTCACTCTTCCCAACCCCATCCCTAGGGGGTCCCGGGTTAGTCTCCCCACCACCATCTCTAGGGGTCCTGGGTCACTCTACCCTCCCCATTCCTAGGGGTCCCGGGTCACTCCCCTCCTCCATCCCTAGGGAGTCCCGGGTTACTCTCCCTTCCCCCATCTCTAGGGGTCCTGGGTCACTCTGCCCTCCCCATCTCTAGGGGTCCTGGGTGACTCTGCCGTCCCCATCCCTAGGGATCCTGGGTTACTCTCCTGAACCCCATGCCTAGGAGTCCTGGGTCACTCTTCCCTCCCCATCCCTAGGGGTCCCAGGTTACTCTCCCCATCCCCATCCCTGGGGGTCCAGGGTCAGACTGCTCTCCCCCGCCCAGGGGTCCTCGGTCACTCTACCCTCCCCATTCCTAGGGGTCCCGGGTTACGCTCTCCTCCCCCATCCCTAAGGGGTCGCAGGTCACTCCCCACCCCCATCCCTCGGGGGTCCCGGGTTCCTCTCCCCTCCCCCATCCCTGCAGCTTCCGGGTCACTCTCCCCAACCGCATCCCTGGGGGTCCCGGGTCACTCTGCCCTCCCCCATCCCTCAGGGTCTCGGGTCACTCTCCCATCCCTACCCCTCGGGTTGCTGGGTCTCCGGGCCGTCCTGGGTTCAGCCCCTCCGCCCCCTGCCCCCTGCCCCGCCCAGGCCCAGGCCCAGGCCGCACCGCGTTGCTGAGGATCTCCTGACGGCGTGGGGAGGCGCTGGCCAGCACCACGCGCTTGTGCAGCAGCTTCCCGATCACCGGGCACAGCACCATGGCGCCCACGCCGGGAGCCGGGAGTCCGCACAGCTGAGCCCAGAGCCCGCGGAGAACGCAGCTGCAAAATACGGCGGCCAGAGTCCCGCCTCGGCGAGGCCACGCCCCGCCCGCCTCCGCGAGGCCACGCCCCGCCCGCCTCCGCGACGCCACGCCTCGTCCTTGCCTTCATTGCCTTCCTCGCCAGGCCACGCCCACTCCACGCCTCCATTGGCCTCCCCGTGAGGCCACGCCCAGTCCATGCCTTCATTGGCCTCCCCGCGATGCCCCGCCCCGACCTCGCCTTCGTTGACCTCCCCTCCAGGCCACGCCCACTCCACGCCTCCATTGGCCTCCCCGTGAGGCCACGCCCAGTCCATGCCTTCATTGGCCTCCCCGCGATGCCCCGCCCCGGCCTCGCCTTCGTTGCCCTCCCCTCCAGGCAACGCCCACTCCACGCCTCCATTGGTCTCCCCGTGAGGCCCCGCCCAGGCCACACCCCCGCCCGACTCCCCCTCGGGCACCGCCCCGGCCTCGCAGTGAAGCACCGCCCCCAGCTCCGCCTCCCGGGCCCTGTCCCCGCCCCTGGCGCTCGCCCCGCCCCTCCCCGCCCCGCCTGCAGCACCAAGACTGACAATCCCGCAGGACGCATAGGCAGCAGCTGGGGGTCCCCCAGGGAGGAAAGGCCGGCGTGGATTCCTGGGGTTCCTTGCAGGCGCGGCGTGGGGAGTGGAAATGCTGGGGTTCCCGCGGCTGCGGTTGTGAGCAGCGGTGGGGGTGGGGTGTTCTTACCCGAAAGTGGGGGGGCCAGGCTCAGAGGTGGGGGTCTTGTGGGCGCCGTCTTGGGGAACGTAGAGATGGGGGGTTCCCCGCGGGCCCGGCGGGAGGGGCGTGGAGATGGCACGGGGGGGGTCCCTCCAGGACTGGCGGGAGGGGCGTGGAGATGGGGGGCTCTCCGCGAGCCTGGTGGGAGGTGCGTGGAGAAGGGGGCCCTTATAGGTCCGGTGGGAGGGGCGTGGAGATGGGTGGGTCCCTCCAGGACCGGTGGGAGGGGCGTGGTATGGGGCTGTCCACGGGCCTGGTGGGAGGGGCGTGGATATGAGGGTCCTCCGGGGCCTGCTGGGAGGGGCGTGGAGATGAGGGGGTCCCTCCAGGACAGGTGGGAGGGGTGTGGAGATGGGGTCCCCGCGGGCGTGGTGGGAGGGACGTGGATATGGGGGTCCCCGCGGGACTGGTGGGAATGGCGAGAAGGGGGCCCCTCCATGACCGGTGGGAGGGGCGTGGAGATGGGGTCCCCGCGGGCCTGGTGGGAGGGGCGTGGAGATGAGGGGGTCCCTCCAGGACAGGTGGGAGGGGTGTGGAGATGGGGTCCCCGCGGGCGTGGTGGGAGGGGCGTGGATATGGGGGTCCCCGCGGGGATGGTGGGAGGGGCGTGGAGATGGGGTTCCCGTGGGGATGGTGGGAGAGGTTTGGAGATGAGGGTCCCCGCGAGAACGCTGGGAGGGGTATGGAGATGGGGTCCCCGCGGGCTGGGTGGGAGGGGTGTGGAAGAAGGTGGGGGGGCCCTCTAGGACCGGTGGGAGGGACATGGAGATGGGGTCCCCGCGGGGATGGTGGGAAGGGTATGGAGATGGGGGTCCCCGCGGGTTGGGTGGGAGGGGTGTGGGAGAAGGTGGGGGTCCTTGTGGGAGGGGCGTGGACATTGGGGATCCGCGCGCGTGGTGATGGGCGCGGCGTGGGGACCCCCTGTGGGCTCAGGGATGGGACCAGAGCGGGCGCTGCGAGGTCAGGGACGCCCTGGTGGTCTCGGCTGCACCTTCCCTCCCTAAACGGACCCCACCTCCAGGCAGCGGGTCCCTTGCGCGCCGCAGGCTGCAGGGGGCGCGCGTGAGCTGTGCTTGGATTTTTCTTAACCCGCCCCCAAGAGCCCAGCCGCACCTGCTCCACATAAACGCAGCGTGGCCTGGAGACTCCGGGTACTGTTTCCCCAGCCTTTTGTGACTCAGAAGATTTTAAAATAAAATGTCAAAAATAATCATATACCCAGATCACATGCCAGCGATGCGTAGATACAGAGAACGGAATCCTACAGTTACTTTTGTTAACTGTGGAATGACATCTGAGGGGTGTCCAATACATTATGGAGAAAACGGAAAACAGAGAAGTTACAGAATAGTCAAATAAACGGGAGGGAAAAAAAAACACCTAAACCATGTGATGTCTGATTTTCAATATTGTGAGTTTTGAAAAAAAAATTTTTTTAATAACAGCAGCATACAGATTCATATTTCATATTTTTGGAGAAGTAACTTTTCTTCGTTTTGAAGCAATAGAGGGAATCACAACTTTACAAACTGTACTGCATATAACATAAATTCCATGCAAGTGAAGGTGTTCTTGTCCTTCCTTCCTTCCTTCCTTCCTTCCTTCCTTCCTTCTTTCCTTTCCTTCTTTCTTTCCTTCTTTCCTTCCTTCCTTTCCTTCTTTCTTTCCTTCTTTCTTTCCTTCCTTTCCTTCTTTCTTTCCTTCCTTCCTTCCTTCCTTCCTTCCTTCCTTCCTTCCTTCCTCCATTCCCTCCTTCCTTCCTTCTTTCTCTCTCTCTCTCTCTCTTTCTTTCTTTTCTTTCTTTCTTCTATTGAGATGGAGTCTCACTCTGTCACCCAGGCTGGAGTGCAATGGTACGATCTCCACTCGCTGCAACCTCCGCCTCCCAGGTTCAAGCGATTCTCCTCCCTCAGCCTCCAGAGGAGCTAGGATTACAGGCACCTGCCATCACACCTGGCTAATTTTTGCATTTTTTAGTAGAGATGGGGTTTCGCCGTGTTGACCAGGCTGGTCTCGAACTCCTGACCTCAGGTGATCCACCCGACTCAGCCTCCCAAAGTGCTGGGATTACAGGTGTGAGCCACTGGGCCCAGCCGCGGGTGAGATATTAAATCATAAAGAAAAATAGCAAAGGAAGGCCAGGTGCGGTGGCTCATGCCTATAATCCCAGCACTTTGGGAAGCAGATAAATCACGAACTCAGGAGATCGAGACCATCCTGGCTAACACAGGGTGAAACCCCGTCTCTACTGAAAAATACAAAAAATTAGCCAGGCGAGGTGGCGGGCGCCTGTAGTCCCAGCTGCTCGGGAGGCTGAGGCAGGAGAATGGCCTGAACCCAGGAGGCGGAGCTTGCAGTGAGCCGAGATCACACCACTGCACTCCAGCCTGGGCGGCAGAGCAAGATTTCATCTCAAAAAAAAAAAAAAAAAAAGAAAAAGAAAAATAGCAAAGGAAATTACAGTAATTATCTATAGAAGATGAAGTGAACGCTGCCACCTCCTGAACAGGTACAGCCAAAGCTGAAGGGTTCAGTGACTAGAGTGGGGGTTACTGGTAACCGTCACTCAAAACTCTGGAACTTAAAACAGCAAAAGTCAATTGCATTACAGCTCTGCAGGCCAGAAATCTGAAATCAAGGCATAGGCAGGGCCACGCTCCCTCTGAAGCCTCTAGGGGAGGATCCTTCCTGCCCCAGCTCCTGGGGTCTCCAGGTGTCCCTGGGCTTGTGGCCGCATCACTCCAGTCTCTGCCTCCGTCTCCACGTGGCCTCCTCCTCTGTGTCTGTGTCTCCTCTTCTGTCTCTTACAAGGACACCTGTCATTCCATTTAGGGCCCAGCCTAATCCAGGATGATGTCATCTCAAAATACTTAACTCATTACATCTGCAAAATTCGTTGTTTCCAAATAACATCTCATTCCAGGTTCTGGGCTCTAGTATACGGACATATCTTTTTAGGATCTGCTCTTCAACCCATTACAATTGGACCCAGTTTCCTCTGGAGGCTCTAGGGGAGGATCCTTCCTGCCTCTCCCAGCTCCTGGGGGCTCCAGGCGTCCCTGGGCTTGTGGCTGCATCACTCCAGTCTCTACCTCCGTCTCCACGTGGCCTCCTCCTCTGTGTCTGTGTCGCCTCTTCTGTCTCTTACAAGGACACCTGTTACTGTGTTTAAGGGACACCCTACTCCAGGATGATCTCATCTCCAGATCCTTAACCACATCTGCAAAGATCCTTTTTCCAAGTGACGTCTCATTCCCAGGTTCTGGGGCTTAGGACATGGACATATCATTTGGAGCTCACCATCTAAACCATTGCAATTGTGTTTGGTTTCTTCTTGAGGCTCTAGGGGAGGATCCTTCCTGCCTCTTCCAGCTGCTGGGGGCTCCAGGCATCCCTGGGCTTGTGGCCACATCACTCCAGTCTCTGCGTCCATCTCCACGTGGCCTCCTTCTCTGTGTCTCTGTCTCCTCTTCTGTCTCTTAGAAGGACACCTGTCATTGGACTTAGGGTCTACCTTAATCCAGCATGATATCTTGAAACCATGAACTAATTGCACGTGTAAGAACCCTATTTCCAAATAAGGTGCTATTCACCTGGTAGACATATCGATGGGGAGACATGGATCCACCCAGTCCCCCATACCAGCATTCCAGAAGGGGTGCCAGCTAACCAGAGATGGGGTCCAGCAGCCTGTATTTATCCCTGTAAGTTCTCCGTTATGGCCACAGCATTGAAACCCCACCAGGCAGAGATTTAACTGCTCAAAAGCCCTGACTACTGCAGCCCTCCTGCTCTCAACGTGCCCTTCAGTGACTTACAGAATTTCCTTTGCTTTTTTTTTTTTTTTAAGCCTCGACTCTTGCCTGTTGCTCAGACTGCGGAGCGCAGGGCACGATCTCGGTCACTGCAACCCTCTGCCTCCAGGTTCACACCATTCTCCTGCCTCAGCCTCTGAGTATCTGGGATCTACAGGGCCCCCCCCGCCCGGCTAAATTTTTTGTTATCTTTTTAGTAGATGATGGGTTTCCTCTACTGTTGGCCAGGCTAGTCTCAAACTC